TTAATAAAGTTTTTGGTTCACTACGGGTTGATAAATTCGCTAAGATTAAAATCGGTAAGCTAAAAATACCAAGCGGTATGTATTCATTACGAAAAAAGAAAACTGTATAGTACTGCCCCATAATGAACACTTTATTTTCCGGGTAATGTATGAATCTTTATGCGGTATTGCCATTCTACCGCACTGGTATTTATTTTTCACAATTCAAGTAATGAAAGAAGTTGCGCACTCTCACACGACAAACACCACGAGGAGGACAAAATGGGCGACAAAAAAGATAAATTAATTCGTGTTTCGAATTCTTTACATCAAAAGAAAGCAATAGTGAGCTCCAATAACTACGAGGAATTTCTAACAAAAGGTAAGTCAGCATGATTAATTAGATAAATATAATTCGCAAGTGAAAAAATTGATAAGATTTTGTTGATTTAATTAATTCAATGCAGATTATCTCAATTAAGTTATTAATTTAGCAACTTTATTTTACAGTTAGAATAAAGTTTGAGCTTGCTGACGACATCCAGATACTTATCGAAGACGACCAAGGTGCCGAGATTGATGCGGATGTGTTTCCAATTTTATGGGAGGAAGAAAAACCGAATATTACATTTCGAATTCAAGGCGAGGACTTTACAGTAAGCGCAATTCAGGACGCCGGTTCCAGTCCTCAAATTTATTATTGTAAGTACTACATAGATAAGTAATACCTCCAGGAATTAATATATGACCTGATAATTAATAATAATTAATAATTTTGTAGTGCCAAGTCCATTGTGTTCACCGGCGCCATCACCAGTTTCGCCATCATTAGGACTTGGTGACGTTGATGTATTTAAGCAGGTAAACAGTTCATCAGCTCAATATATTCTAACAAGTACATAGTAACTACAATTTTTGATTTTTTTCGATATTAGATATTAGAGGAATATGTCGAGAAGACGCCGCGTTTGGCGAATCTAATCTTGGAGTGCAGAGAGAAGTCCCTCGTCGATAACTCAGCGGCGGCAATAATTGTTAACGAGTTTGTGTCGAAATTGGTAGACTTAAAAGGGTAATTATTTTTAAATAAGTTCCTTGCTGTTTGTAAATAATATTTTCTGTTATGTAGTAACTCACCATGCACTCGAGACCAGATATCTTTTGCAAAGGCGATTGTTGAAATTCTGCCTTTCTGGAAATATCCGGGAACGCCAGACGGAATTGTAAATTACTATTGCAAATAAATTTTCGTAACAATAATTACTAAAAAAATTATTCTAAAAGTGTCTTGTGTAAATTGCAGGATATTCTTTATGATGAAATTAACCGGTCTGGCCTAATTCAACAACGACTCAAGTGGATTCACAGAAACATTAGGAAACCGGAAGTTGATACGAGGCGTCGGAAAAAAGAAGAAAGTCAAGGTGGCCCAAAGCCAAAAATAGCGAAAGGCGCAGAGGAGGTTTTCCCCAACTTGGAATTAACGGCGGCCCTAAATTCAAGCACTAAAAAAGGTGAAATTGTATCACTCATGAAGGAAACTTTTGAACACAGAAACCAGATAAGACGGTCAAACGATCAATCAGTGCTACGTGTGTACTCAAAATTTGCGGAATGTTCCTACTTGGTTTGAATTATTAACTTAATTTTAATAATTACGCATGTCATAAATATACAATTAATACTTCTGTTCAGGTTAATTTTGAGTTTTCGCTAATGTTTCCTGACCTTGAACAAAACTTTCTAAACACGTGGCCGGAATTTGCTGACCGATTGATTGCGCACTGCAAAACTTTAAGTAATTCGCCAGCCCTATTGAAATTCGCAAACAATAATTATGGTAAGTGTTTCCGTAAATCTAATAATCATAAATTTCGTAAATAAATTGCTAACCACTGTTTTGTTGTCACAGATAATTGGGACAAATCAATAGCAGCTCTATTTGTTCTGTTACACCTTATTCCTCCAAGCGCTCAAGGGAGAGGGAAAGGGGGACGCTGTAAAATTGACGACGCAAAGTTAAAGTTGGTTACTTTTTACCGGGTAAGCGCGGGAATAATTTAAGAGGGTCAGCTAAACGATATGGGACAGTTTTAATAAATATGTGTTTAAATAGGCTGAAACGCCCTTGAAATCAATTGTGGACACTTGGAATTTTGAGACTTCCCAACCAGCGCTCATTGTACTAGGCGAGGACCACTCCAATTTGACGTCCTTCTACATAATTTGTGATCGAATCCTCCTCCCAATCAACGCAAGAACTTCAACCGAGGCAATCGATTCCCTATTTAAGGCTCATTACGTAATTGGAACAGAATACGACAAAAATTTGACCGGAATTTGGAAGTTTATTCAAGTACACATTTTTCAACTTGAAACAACTACTCAGCTATCAAGAAAAGTGAAACAAGTGTTCCAGCAAATTTCTACTTATCTTCAAACGTCAAATTCCTCGACAAATTAAAATGTATACTTGTGGTCCATGTGGAAAAGTATTTTGTAAATTTATAGAGATTATAGTACATTTTAGGTGCATTCATAATTACGGTGAGGCAAATTTTCCAGCTACAATATGTCCTAAACAGTCTTGTAGCACACAAATATGTACATGGAGTGGATTGTTGAGGCATTTTAAGTCCCACGAAATTGTTTTAGATTCTGAAAATTATGATAAGAATTTTGAGGAAAATTTAACTCCCTCACTTAATTTAGTAGATCCAGTCTTAGATGACGTAGGTAATGATCCCAATTTAACTGAATTTAATGAACAAGCAGATATTACTACCAATTTAGGAATTAACGTAATGAAAGATATTTTAATTTCATTCTGCTCGTCATTGTTAGCCTCAGGTGTTACCAATTCAACTGTGGACTTTGTTGTTAAAGAGTTTGAAAATTCGTTTCTTCAAATTTCAAAATTAATTTTAAGGATAAGCAACAAATTTTGCAAAGAAATTTTGAGGACTTTAGTTGCCAGTCGCTATCTTTAATAGAAGCGTTCAGTCACGTAAATTCTATTTACAAACGACAGAAAGCGTTAGAAAAATATAGCCAAATAATTATGCCAAAAGAATATTCGTTAGGAAGTAGGCTGGAGCAAAGGGTGAGAGATAACAAACGTCAAGAAGTTATTGTATCAGATACATTTATGTATGTACCAATTCTCAAGAGTTTAGAAAAACTTGTTTCATCTCCAGATATTTATCAGTGTTTTTCAAAAGTTGTACCTTCAAATTCCAATTCAATCGAGTCATTTAAAGATACAGTTGCATTTAAAACTAATTGTCTTTTTTCAAGGAACCCGAATTCTATTCAAATTCAACTTTTCTATGATGATTTTGAAACAGTCAATCCCCTTGGCTCAAAACGAGGAATTCACAAATTGGGAGCGTTTTACTTTACTATTAAAAATCTTCCAGATTATATTAATTCCCAACTTAGCTCAATACATTTATTAGCCTTGTTTTATTCGGAGGATGCCAAAAAGTATGGTATTAATTCAATTCTGAAATTAATAATTCCAGATTTCCTGTATCTTGAGAAAGTGGGCATATCGGTAAATGGATCTGATAGAATTTTTGGTACTTTGTGTTCTCTTGCGTTTGACAACTTAGGTGGAAATAGTTTGCTAGGATTTAATGAGTCGTTTAATTCCCATTATTTTTGTCGAATATGCTGTACATCTAAAAGTGAAGCACAAGAAATATTTGAGCATAGCAAAATGATAGTCAGGGACAAAAGTAATTATGCCAATCATTTAAGTGACAAATCTTTTGGTGTTCAAACTGAATGTATTTTAAATCAACTTAATTATTTTAATTTTTTAGATAGTCCGTCTGTTGACATTATGCACGATTTACTGGAAGGTGTCGTTCCGTACGAAATCAAACTAGTTTTACAAAAATTAATATCTTTAAAGTGCTTTGATTTAGATTTAATTAATCAAAGAATTCAGGCCCATAATTTTGGCTATTTAGAATCAAAGAATCGCCCAAGTCCAATACGACTAGAAGGATCGGGAAACAAAATTGGACAAAAAGCTTCTCAAGCCTGGTGTCTGATTCGGTATTTACCAGTGATTATTGGGGATTTAGTTATTAGTAATGAGCAAAAAAAATATTGGGAAATTTTATTGCAACTTTTGGAGATTTTGAGCTATGTATTTTGTCGGAAATTTTCAGAATCTACTTTGTTATTATTAGATGCAAAAATAGTTAGCCATCATAATCTATTTCGTAAGTTGTTCCCAGATCAAAAACTTATCCCCAAGCACCATTTAATGTGTCACTATTCTTTTGTCATTAGGCAAAGTGGGCCATTAGTATCAATGTGGGCCATGCGGTATGAGGGGAAACATAATTATTTTTCTCAATTAGCAGGACAAATAAGAAATTTTCGTAATATTTGTTCATCGTTGGCTAAAAGGCATCAACAGTATAGTTCTCATTTGTTAAAAACTATTGAAATTAATGAGGGGGTTAGGGCAGATAATATAGTAGTATCTAATTTGTATGAATTTGCTGAGTCTTTTGATTTAATCGAGAAATTAAGACAGTTTGACATATTTAAAGAATGTGACGGAAATACAAAAGTTTATACAGCAAATAAGGTCTGGTATCGTAATTATAAATACAAAATTGATTATGTTGTTTGCTATGGAATGGGAAATATTTTTCCAAATTTTGGTGTAATTCAGGACCTAATATTAATTGATGAAACCAGATGCCTGTTATTTTTGAAAAAGCTAAATGTAGACTTCTTTGACAGACACTATTTTTCCTATATTGTTACACGTACAAATGATTTGTTTGAAGTTGTGGATATATCTAATTTAATTGTTCATGAATGTTTTGAGTTTCAAAAAAATTGTAATACCGATGCTTTTCATTTAGTTTTAAGGCATTACTTGTAAAAATATATGTATTTGTAATTTAGGCTATATATAACTTGATTGGTTTTTGTATTTAATTAAGTTGTGTAGTTTAATTATTGCGAATTATTACAATAAATAATCAAAATAATTACCGAAATAGTGAAACATTTATTACCATAATAATAAATATCGATAAGCAAACGATAATAATATGATTATGGTGCGGTGTTGATTATTTACCACCCAGTAATAAGCATCTTTATACATTTATCATAATATCATTACTGGCTAATATTACTTCATTACTGCGTGCAGTTGCAGGTTCATATTGCATGATATTTATGATATTATTGTGGAGTAATACGTTAATGCCGGGATGGTAATCTTTCTGTTAAATACCGCGCGGTAACTAACCCATTACCACAGCAGTAGAGTCATATATAGACTACACGGGGTAATGATTCCGGTAAACATTTTTCGGAGAGTGCACTACCTAGACATTTTTCGATATTCTTGAGGAGGTTTGATAAATTGTTGTAACTGTTAACTAAATCACCTTGGAATGATAGCGATCTCGAATAATTGTACCTAATGTTAAACATTTCTTTTCCGTTGTTAAAGTTTTTTTCTAAAACCCTGATATTTTCTAAACAAAATTGCGCAGTTAAAGAGAAGAAAGAAAGTTCCAATAGTTGCCCTGAAATAAAGCTAGGGACTGAAATATATTTTTTCAAAATAGCTTCATCCCCAATGTCTAAAATATGCTTCCAAATTTGCACAATAGTAAATTTATCTTTGGCTGCAAAATTAGCCATGTGATTGACCAAGTGGTCAATAAGTATTTCAAGGGTTGCAGGAATTTTCAGACCTTCGGGGATTTCAAACGTTTCAAAAAGACGTAGGACCTTCTGTGTCATTCTGTGTACAGTTATTATTTCGTTGTCCGACTTAATAAGACTGTAGCGCAAAAGAAGCTTACAAGCATTATTTATGTCCTGGGTAGAAGTTCCTGCAAAGGCTGTCTGATATATTTTTCGCAATGAATCTAAAGATATGCCGTCCCCATCAACGTATGCCAGGACCTTTAATAACCTAACAGCGACTGAACCATCGACCTGATCTCTGTCTAAGCGTTCAATGCACAACCCCAAAGTCTTTCCCAGAGTAGCCTCATTAGAATTGCTTGACAATAAAATAGCTACGGGGGACTTAGCCAGTTCTAGGCAATATTGTCTAGCATTGTATGATTTTCCGTAGAATTCTGCTCTTTTTTGATGTCTAATAAATGCAACGGCTTTAACTAAAGCCAGCGGCCAGTCACCCAGCTCGACACATAGCTTCACAACATCTTTCTGATTTTCTCCGCTTAAGCGATAATTTACAAATTCAATTGCAGTTTCTCTGCTAAATTCTTCCAAATCTATGCTCGGATAACTAGCGTCTGATCCGGAATCGACACAATTGATGTTTCTAGTTGTCACTAGAACAAAGCATCCCTCTTTTTTTAATCTGGAAATTACCTCAGTATAGCCGACATACTGGTCATCTACATTGTCTACTACAACAATAGTCTTACCACTAAGATTTGATAAGCAATTTATTTGATCTATGTGAAAAGACGGAGCAGGGACTTTTTCTTTCCTTACTTCTTTCCACAATTTTGTAATGCTTGAAAATAATTTCTCTTCAGATTCTCCCTGCAGCACAATAATGTTAGCGTTCCTATCCATGGTATCGCGGGATTCTAAAATGTTTCGACAAAAGCAAAATGCCAGTTCCGTTTTACCAAAGCCTGGTGGACCATGGATGTAAACAGGGGAGCGATTAGAAGAGTAGAATTTCCTAATTTCTTGTAGTTCATTTTTTCTTCCATGAAATCGAATTGCTTCCCCAAGTGAGTGCTGAATGCGTTCGCCATCTATCGGATTTTTACGTACTTCAATCTTTTCTGAAAAAAGTTAACGAAAGTTTTGCTTAAAGCCAAGTTTCTGTAAAATATATATTCATATTTCTAACTAACCAGCGACATATTTGAAATTTTCGTTTTTCAAAACACAACAAAAATTTTCGACTGACGGATTCTGATTTAAAGAATGCCACTCCTCAACCATACGTCTGATCAAACGCCCTGAATTATTGGTTTGACTATATTCCTGCCTTAAGTTTTCAATGGCGGAAGAAGATAATTCGAGCGAGTGTGCTAATTTTCCCCAATTAGCCAAAACAATGGGATCCTTTTGAAGTTCAGCAGCGATTATATCAACTATTTTTTTACTAGAATCTATAGGTTCTAGTACCGATTGTTTGGCGGTAGGCAGTAAATTCCCCATACTTATATGGGAATAAAGAAATTTCACGTAGCTTTTTCAGTGGGTTTACACAGGAGTTGATAGCTACTGCGGATTGACTTGGGTTTGACGTCAAGATAACCACTTTATCACATTGTGTCACACGATTTGTGTGACACAATATCAACTTATAAAGGTTGATAAAGCAATACACAATAGGTTGCCTTTGCATACACTTTAAATAACTCGGTAGTAAAATTCCATCACCCCTTATAACCGTGAATGCAGCAATGCGTAATGTAAACTACACTCAAAACAAAATTTTAATGAATCATTACTGCGCGGAGTGACTCTACCGCGATAGTAATGATTTGGTATTAAAACAATACTATATGGTAAAAAAATTAACCCACGTTAGTGTTAAAATTATTACCAAAAAGTGTTATTTTATTACTAAATCTATACCAACATGGTGTAAATTTTTAGTTCCGTCACGGTAGAGTCACATATCTACTCCGCTCGTTTTTTTATTAAAGAGTGTACTATCCGGTGTAGTACCTTCACGGCTATTTTTGTTACATATTTAGCTTGTGAGTTAGCCAAATAGTAATAAATATAGTAATAACGTACTACTCAATCTTCTCCGATGTTGTACAATTTTTACATCGTTGCTAAAATTTATTTACTTTTTTAATTACAGTATTTTGATCATTATATATTTTATTACTATTAGAGGCATTGTATTATTAAAGTTATATTTTTGTTATCGTGACATGGTTTTCAAACCAGTTTTGTAAACTTATATCCATTAACCCGTAAATAAAGGTTGACTTGACTTGGTGTGAAATTAAAGGCGTTGTAATTTATCTAATAAATAAGGCTATAAATTATACTGGGTTTTATAGGTTCTAATGGTTTTTGTTATATGATAGCAGTAAACTCATTAAGCCAGTCTTTCAAATTTGCAAAACACAAAATAAATTTTGTTCAAAAATTATTATTTTTTGTATGAACCTAAAATTGTGCTGATTAGGAGGGCATGAATTATCGGTCTATTTCGAATTTTCTAGTATTGTAATATTAATGCTATAATCCTCCTGACTGCGATGAATTAGCTTTGTCTTACGTATGGAATAAGCTAGAAACTCTTTGAGTTAACATTTAGAATGTAATTTTAATGTCTAACTAAATTGTAATCCATGAAACCCAGTATAAAACCCAATAAGGTTTTGTTTTGGTTTTATTTCCCGTATAAAAATTTTAACGGATTTTATGCACAAATTTGGCTGGATTTTATGCACAAATTTGGCTGAATTTTGTGCACAAAAATTTATGCAGGGTGATTTGTGCATAAACTGTGTAGGCTTATGCATAATTATGCTATGTTTTTTTCTATTAAAAAGAGAGATTGCTAGCCACAAGCTTTGTATGAAGAAAAGTATCTTCATAAAAATATCAGTTTTTAAACTTTTATGCAGAATATACTCTCCAGAAATTTATGCACAATTATGCACAATTTTTTATGCATAAATCATTATGCCGACTAAGTGTGCGGTATTATGCAGAAGTCGCCACACGATTTTTATACGGGTTGTATGATATTCAATAACACCAATTAAAACCTAACAACCCAAACCCAATCAAACCTGCGTAGAACTACCTTGTATGTACACACGTTGTAAATAGTGATAAGCTATAGATATGTTTTATTAGCTCAATTGAGTTAGGTAAGGTTAGACTTATGGCTATGATTTTCGTTAATTTTTAAGAGTGTACTTAAATATGTTCTGCCAATAGTGATATATTACATGATGACATAATTTACTGAAATAGAGAAAACAATTTGTCCATATCGTCACTCGAGTGATGTTCCATTTTATACGCATAACAACTGTCGATCGATATTGATACATATGTGATGTATGATAATCATTGATACGAAATATGATGTGGTGGAACATTCTGGAATGCAGAGTTATAAATTAACTCTGCTCATGATAACGTAATCTTGCAAAACATTTAATTTACGTACATTACCATAAAGACCCATGTTCAGTGTTTAAACTGGTATTTACCACTGGTAAAACCAGGTATTTACCGGTATTTACCACCAAGCTAAAAACTGGTAGAGTGGTATAAAGTGGTAAAAACCTGTTTGGGGTATTGCGAGACGAATTTTACCATATTAACTTCACATTAATTTATAAAAAATAATTTGTTTAATGATGAGGAATATTACGCTAAACCATTCAGTAGTTACGTACTATTAAAAATATCGTTTAGTTTGACTTTCCAGGCTGTAAATTGACCTCAAATGAGTTTCTACCACTTGATAACAGTTTATACCGCTTTTTACTATTTTACCACTTTTTACCACTGTGATGGTAAAAATCAACCGAAGTGGTAAAATTTAAAAAACTGCCCATGTCTAACCTGTATTTATTCAAATTTGTAGCGATTATTACTCATGCAAAATCTACTCTCTGGATAACCAAAAACTAATCAATGGTTCAGACGATGTATATTTGTCAATTTCAAATTGCAAATTACATAAATAATTGCATGAGATAAAAAATTGGTAACGTTAATTAAAACGAATACGCGTTTAATACGTTAAAATTTTAGCATTAAACTTATTACAACAAGGGATTATTTTATTACGGGTGCGAGTATAACCGTCCAACGAAAAATATTTTTCTTCCAACGAAAAGAAATAATTTTTAATACTTTTATCATGGAAATATGGGCTAAAATTAAAAACTGAGATTCGCCTAGCAAACATATAATTGACACGGAGATGACTACAAGACAAATATAAAATAGACTTATTATCCCTTCACCCATATCCATTCCTTTTTCCACCTTGTTATGTTCCTTGACTGCAGAAATTCTATATCTTACTTTCCTAGCTATCATTTCCTCCTCGAGCTTCGCATAAACGCCAGCCCCGAGTAGGAATTTGTAATAACGTGGGACTTTCGAAGATCCGTTTAGTGAGGCATTAATTAGCTCATTGAACTGTCAAATTCGAGTCGACGTATTCAAGTAAATGACTCAAAATCTTTATATATAGAATAATCATGATTATTTCAACCATAAATAATTATAATTTGGAAAAAAACCTGTGATTTTATTGATCCATGGATACGTAGCAAAACTGAACAAAATCCATCAGTTTTATTGTAATCAAACTCAAACCCCTACAACTTATGTAGTTTTCGGACGAAAAATAATTACGACACAGCATTTCCGTTGTGTGCATTCCATCCTTTTTAGATATCTAACTAGGTCATGACACAATCTATTCAGCTTAACAAGAAGTGAAACACATGTAAGGTACGCATTAACAATCAATCCCCACACATAAATGTAACCCTCAATCAATATAGCGCCAAATGCCAAACAATGCAATACTCCACAGGGTATAAAAATTGTTATTAGGCGTCCATCAATTTTAATAGGTGATACCACTTCTAACGTGTCATTTACCACCGGCTGCCTTTCCAGAAATGTGTTTTCCGCCATTTCTTTCTTTAGCTTTCCATATATCCCGGAAGACATCAACACCTGAAAATTTCTATGTACTCTTGACACCTGGCTGGATGTAGTGACCCCGCCAACATCAGTAAAGGACCATCCAACTCGTGCTGTCTCCAAGGCGGTACGTCCAAGGTACAATTTTTTAGACGGATACTTCTTATCAAGGAAATCCTTTTCAGCAAGAACGTTTTCGGACACTGATATGAAGGCAGTTTTTCTTTGACAATTGATCACATCCCGCTCGACCAAGGTTTGTAGTTCTCGTGTAGAATAATTGTTTCTGCTAGTATTCAAACCTATGGGAAGGGTAGTTTGTACTGGGTTCATAAGGAGAAGATATAACGCGTCATGTCTGGTTATCCCTAGCTTCTCTTGATTATTCAAAATTTGCCTCCCATATCTAAAATATCTACTTGCTATTTCGTTATACCACAAATACGATACGAAACCATCCCAGAAAGCGATCGGGGTAGAAAGTAAACTGAAGCAAGAACCCAAAACAAAATCATTTTTAAAACTTGGTGTGTTGTATAGAAATTATGTGTATCGCAACTTCCCCCAATATGCGGCATATTTGACGTCGAATTGTACACTTTTTCCCAACATTAGTAAATCTTTGGAAATATAGCTACTCAGAATGTGTCGATTTTGACATATCAGATCCTCAAGTACTTGAGGTCGTTGTGCTTGAAATGGTGCGTTTAGTTCAGAAACAATTAGTCCGCTGTAACAGTTTGTAACCAAGACGGCTACAGGTCCCCACGCAATGAATATGACGCGGTAAAACAACTTGTTTTCAATTGATCCTGGCACCGCGGTAAAGTCGTCAAACAATAGGGAAACAAAAGACAATGATACTGAAAACGAGTCTTGCCCATTCTTCAGAAATGTGTAAGCCGAGAAGAGTGCACAAGTTATAAATAGACATCAAACCCAACCATAACTTTGGTTTGAATGGCGCCATACAAAAATCAAAACTTAGATAAGTTTCTGCATAGCAAGTTAAAAATTGATAGCTAGTGGAATACGTGAATTCCGTAGAAATTCCGGGCCCTGGTAAACCAGCGTCCAGGATGACGATTGGATACGCGCCAGAAAAATAATTCAAGAAAATCGATGCATTTGTTCACGTCATCACTACGATGACTGCCATATAGGGAGGGATAGATATTGGGGTATCTCTATCAAATGGATTTGCCCGTGGCGGTGGCAATGCTTCATTTCTCTCCATCTGTTTATTGTAATCTAGAAACATAACTACCCAGATTCTCGCAGGAGCTGCATATTTTCCATCATCTGTAGATTTACACGTATAGTCTGCTTTAACTACCGCAGTTCTTGCTATTCTTCGCATGCACAGCTGGACACCACTCCGGGATAGCAGGGCAACGAAGAAGTTTCCGTAACCAATATCTAGGAAGCGCATACTTTTGATTACTTCGTCCATTCCCAAAATTGTAGGAACAAGCGTGTACATATTAACAACTGGTTGTATGAAATCCCATCGGACACCTGAATATTTGCGGTAGTCGCATTCGGCACACAGAAATCCATAATGGTATTTGGCAGATACATCGTACCACAAATCAAGATAGTCAAGGCTTCGCGTTTGATGTTCTTGTGAGAACAGCGCTCTTGAAATCCAAATACTTATTTTGTATGAACCAGGACGACATTTCAGAACGTCTATAGTTAAGAACTGACTAGTGTTTTTATTGTAAAAAAAATGGTTT